AAAAAATAGTAATAGAATTGATGAGTTTAAACATAAATATAAAGGTATGTGTCAATCAAGATATATTCAAGAACAGGCTTAATGATTGATTAGATGGAACATTGTGGGTGTGGTGTATGAATGTTAACACCTTGTATTAATTCTTTAGTATGTTACTTGTGTGGTGTAGAAGATAATTATTTAAGAATGTAATTATGTAAGAATGTTAACACTCTGTTATAATTTTTTTAGTATATTACTTGTGTGGTGTAGAAGAGAATTATTTATGTAGAGATACTGCTTGCAAACCAATGATGGTAAGATGATGTCATGGGGTAGGACTGGATAAGTCTGACTTCTTCCTACTCCATTCAAGCATGTACTAGGTATAAGCAAATTGATATTGGATTAAGTGTAAAATTATGTGTGTTGTCATATCAACTGTTTTTACATGCTTGAAAGAATAAATCAAATCAAATCAAATCAACACCAACATGGCCATTTGTACCTCTAGATTCTGTGGTGCAAGAAACCTGAAGAAGTTACAATTGCATCTGAACCACAGTCGCCCCATTGTAATCAAACATTAAGACAATTATAATCATTTACATCTATATTTAATAAAATAACTTATTCTCTCTATCAATTTTATTTTTGGTAAAAACTGAAACAAAAACACACGTCTCCAGACTGTCTTTGTAAAATATCACAAAAATCAAACACCACCTTTATATTATATTAAAATTCTGAATCATTTTCCTCTTCTCAACCTCATATTTTGTGCAGAAAAATGTTAAGTGACCACCACAGTTCCAATTCAGTTTAATTTACCTTATTTATATAGCACAAAATCCCAACAAAAATGCAAAAAATCCCCCTCCAGCAAGCACTGGGTGAGAATGGGGAGGACAAACCCCCTTTAACAGAAGAAACCTCCAACAGATCCAAGCTTTTGGTGGGTGGTCATCAAGTGGAGAGAGGAAAGGGAAAAGAAAAAGATCAAGACACAAGAAACAAGCTCACACTGGGCAGATTAATGTGATCAGTGACTGCTCATCAGAAACGTAGAGCTCCAGAGCCAGGGCTACCTGCAGAAAGGTACAGGGAGAAGGAGAGGACACACTACTGGAGAGAGGAGACACAAAGTTAATTACATGCAACAGTGGCATTTGCATTGAAAGTAGAGGAGAGGAGAGGTGCTCAGAGCAGCGTGGGAGGACCCCCCAGCAGTATAGGCCTATAAAAGCATAAGTAAAGAAAGGTTCAGAATCACTATAGCCAGCCCTAACCATAAGCTTCACTATAAGTCAGCTAATTTACTGTACTGTATATGTAATTCTTGACTATATTCTTTTAATAAAATTAACATTAAGGAGTTTTTTTTTCCACTGGCAGAATGGTATTTACACCTGCAATAATTACCATCACAGTTCATATCATTTTGTCCTTGGTTTGTTGCAGTTATGATGAAAAGATTTGTAATAAAGGAAAAATCACTGAATTTTCAAATGAAAATTCAGATTTTGTTAATGGTTAAGGCTCATTGAAAAGATAACAATTCAGCAGTTTACATAAACTGATTTCACTAAAGTTTTTATATTAGGGTTTCAACTACTAATTATTTTCATTAGCCTATCAGTTTATTTCTCAAATAGTTGTTTAATCTATGCAATTTAGAAAACAGGAAATCTTATTTGAGAGGTACAAAATACAATGATTTGCTATTTGTGCATGAAATAATGCATTAGTAATTAAGTGATTTATAATTTTTCAATTGATCAGGTAATCGGTTGCACAACAACCAACAACAACAAGAGCGTGTAAACAATTAATGATGGCGAAAAAAGGGTTAATAAAATCCTGGTTTCTGATTGGTTACAGCCCCTTGAAATTACGGAAGTGTAGAAGTTGGCTCAGCTGAGTTGGCCTGTCTCAGATAACCTGCGGTGGTTCTGTAACATTTTTGGTCAGAAACAGAGTAATATCTCGCAGGAATGTCTTTGTCATTCGAGGGGAGAGTCGTGCTAGTTACTGGGGCAGGAGGAGGTAAAATCGCCGTGCAAACACAACGTTAGCTAGCTAGGCTGCCAGCGTTATGTTTAGGTTAGGTTTTGTAAAATCCGCGGCTACGGCTGTCTTGCCTTTTTTAGGCTGTTTATCACAACAAATATTGCACAAATCTTTCAGTTTGTTGCGATAGCTTCTCAGCAGTCAGTCTCGGTATCTAGTTTTACAAACAGCTGCAAGTCGTAAAGTCGTTGATGTAAGTTAACCTTAGACCAGATGAAGCTTTTGGAAGAAGAGGATGCATCATGCATCGGATTAATGTCACTGTCAATAGATGTTTGTTTGCTCTTCTTATTTATTCTTCAAGTGCAAAGCCAAAGTCCATGCAATGCAATGACTCGGCCTATAATCATAGCAGTGTGTGAAAGAGCACATGCACAACACCACAAGTCAGTCAGTAGCGTAGGACAAAGGTCTGCCCCCCTTTAGTACAGCATTTGTCACCTGTGTACAGATAATATCAATAAGTGTAAAGCAGTGCAAACTGCAGTTGTAATCGTCCTAATCACTAATGAAATGTGGCAAGGATCAAGCTCTGAGTGCGTGTTAACACGTCAGTGCCATTGGCTGAACATACAGGAGTCAACCCATTTTGACATATGGTCTTATGTATACCTACGTCATGGTTACTTCTGCCTAATTCGCCACTACTTCCTTAAATGTAGGGTTTGACGAATGTATACACTATAGTAGACTAATCTGTTTTTGTTTTTGCAGGCCTGGGCAGAGAATATGCACTGGCTTTTGCTGAAAGAGGCGCCTCAGTTGTAGGTAATTAAAGGATTTTCATTTTAAGCCCCTTATACTTCACTTTTTTAGAACAAGCAAAGTGGACATACTGTGGTTAGGGGCAACCAGATCTTGCTTTTGTATACTTTGTCTAGTTTCTGGTTATAGTGAACTCCTGTAACCCTATTTGATGTCTTTTAATTTTTTTGTCATTGCCCCTGAGAGAAGGCCAGATAGTGTGCATGATGACATCAGGCCCATAATAATTCCAGATGTTATCCATAGCTGCCGTATTAAAATCTTACCTTTGCTGCTGATTGCATATACAGAAAATTAAGAAGCACTGGTTTAAATTATGTGACATGAGAGCATGAGTAAAAGTCAGTAGATTCTTGCACCTGTGCTAGAGATGACTGTGGGGTCAGAGGTTTCTGTGCATCAACCCGATACACAGGATTGGTATTGTCACAGATTCTGGTCATCGGCCTTGACACGACTGACCCGCAGTGATTACAGCAGCTTAAAGTAAATGGCATGTAATAATGAAAAATACATTGTTTCTGCTACCAGTCCTTCAGTCACAGTGGGGAGAATTTGTAGTATCACAGCAATCCCTGCTGTCCAAAAAAATAAATAAAAACAATTCAGTGAGTTGCAAAGAGTCTAAATATGGGCCAGGTTGCAACAGGGGGTTTAGGGGCACGTGGTATCAGCAGATTACCCCCAAGCTACAGTATCAAAACTGGCACTCGGAGAGAAAGTAGGGTTGGTGCAGCCTTCGATTTTGGTGATTTAGGAGATAAATTATACCTCAGAATGAGATGTCATAGAGAAATGTCCATTGCTTTGACTGTCATATAAATTATGTTGCTAATTTTTAGATGGCACAGTTCCAGGAGTTAGTGTATATATTCCTCCTCCTCCCCTGTTGCCTGGACTGAACTTGCTCTTGAACTCTGGAATCAAAGAATCAGCTCAGCTCCACTCTTCTACTAACCTAATCACATTTGGAGAATTGCAAAATTCACCCCATTATTGCTAATCTTTTTCTTCTTGCTGCAATAAAGTGAATGACCTTGGGGGAGACACTAAAGGGGGCGGAAAGAATTCTGCAGCTGCTGATAAGGTGGTGGAGGAGATAAGAGCGAAGGGAGGCAAGGCCGTGGCAAACTACGGTGAGAAGTTTGGACCAGATGTCATGTCTTAAATTTTGTCTTTTCACACACCATCTCCATCTGTTTTCTGTCTTGCTTACCTTGTAGCATTCAGGGTTATGTAATGGCAGACTCGAAAACAATATTGATTTCTGTCAGTTCGACTGATGAAGCTGTTAGCAAATATTGAAGGCAAAAGTATCTCCTTATCTCATCTTTGTACATCTCACATATATAAAGAAAAATAGTTTTAAAGAACAAAACTAGACTTTGATCAGCTTCATAGTTGTCTTGAACATCTAGATGTTTTATTATAAGAAACAATTATGCCCAGCAATCAATTAAAATGTCACATCACACATCATTATGTAACACGATTTGCAGGTGAGGGTATCAGCCTTCTCTTGTAAATAATACTGAAACTTATCTTTCTGTTGACTTTTGTTATTTTAACTAACAGGTAACATTTTTATCTATAATCTATGTACAAGGCAAATGCACCAAAGAATCAGATTTATAACTACAAAACATTTAATTGAGCTTTCTAGAACCATACTAGATGTAGTAATTTTGAAATTGAAAACAGTTTATAATTCATCACTTACTATACTAAGTGCAGTTTTGTCCATGTTGTGCAGATTCTGTAGAAGAGGGAGAGAAACTTATCCAGACAGCGCTGGATGCATTTGGAAGAATAGGTGAGTGTTGCATTTGTATGGCAATACTGTGGTCATCAGAGCTGATACTTATCCTAAGTACTGCATTATTAAATCATTATAATGGTATAATTTGTTTACAGATATTGTGGTAAACAATGCTGGGTAAGTCATTTTACATTTGATCACACATTTTTAGGTTTAATCCATTTGTCTTTAGAGTGGCCATTTCTTAGTAGTTATCAGATCAGTGAGTGTATGGGCCACTATCATCACGTAAAAGAGAATCTTTTGGCACAGAGACTCAAGAGACTAAAATGGTTTCCCTGCTTTTCTTTGTCAAGGATACTTCGTGACCAGTCGTTTGCCAGAATGAGTGATTTGGACTGGGGTAATTAAATTATCTTTTGTTTGGCTCACCTCATAATCACACAGTGCTGGCATGCTATAAGTAGAAATACATTTGTTTTTAGTGTGGGTGTGTTGTCCAAGTATCTTATGACCAGTAAATCCCATTGCCTGTGTAGGAGTTTACAAGTCTACTGTAAGCTGGATCTCATCGACAGTTTTCTAGTGTGAAATAACAGAACTGGTCATTGATCAGCTATAGCATTATGACTACCTGGCTAATATTATGTAGGTCCCCCTTTTGCTGCCAAAACAGCCTTGACCTATGAAGGCATGAATTCCACAAGACCGCTGAGGGTGTCCTCTGGTATTTAGCACCAAGATAAAAGCAGCAGATCCTTTAAGTCCTATAAGTTGCAAGGTGGGGCCCCTTGGATCTGACTTGTTTGTCCAGCACACCACAGATGAGAACCTTCTTGCTGTGAGGTGACAGGGCTACCCACCGTGCCGCTGTGCTGTAACGAGATAATCAGTGTTATTCACTTCATAATGTTATGGCTTATTGATGTATAAGGTTGCGTGTTTTATGGTAATGCTTACTGTGTCATTACTCTCCATTTCAGACCTGATTCACAGAATTCACTTGAAAGGCTCCTTCTTGGTGACCCGAGCTGCCTGGACCCACATGAAAAATCAAAAGTTTGGCAGGTAAGGAGCCCAGCTACTAACAGTACCGTGCCATCCTCCTGTTAGGTGGGAAGGGTTGTTTGACAGTACCCTCAGCAGACAAACCATTGCCGGGACTGTAATCAGGAAGATAAAGGGCAGTGTGGTAAGGCCTGATACAGATGTCAGCTAAAGTACCAAAGATACTTAATGGTTTTTATGTGCTCCATTTTAAGGGGGCTCTTGAGGATATGCACTTGAGGTAATGAGCATATAAAGCATGTCTGCTACCACGTTATTATACACCTATTCTGACTCTGACTTTAATCACTTAATATCTAGCTCCACTGGTTTCATGGTGTGAATGAAATAATCTGAATACTAATAACAGCCCAAGACAGAAGATTGGATATAAATATGTAACTTGTACAAAGAGGGAAATTAGTTAATTAGGGCATGCTGAACTTTGGGTTAATTTTTACAATTTAAAATAATGACTCCACAAGAAGCAGCAAAGATGTCCGTGCGGACTTGTCTAATTCTTTCAAGCAGTACAGCATAAAAAAAAAAAAAAATCCAATATCTACTGGTCTGAAGTTGAAGGTGTTCTGCCACTCATCTGAGATTGTTCATTTCTTGAAAAGCCTCTTGAAGGAGAAGCAAAACATCCAGTGCATAATTTACAGTGACTTGGCAGAGAGCACAGGTGCAACTAATAACAATGATGGCTGCATTCTGATAGCGAACAGTCGTTAATGTTATTAATTACACCTGTGATTTTTTTACAGCTATGACAAGTGTGAAAAAGGTCTACTGAGGTTTGCATGTGTTGAATTATAATTTGCAGAAGAAGGTCACACAAATAGCTTTGCTCCCATGTTACTTCAGGTAACAGATGCCTGTCACAGGCAGCTCTACTTGAATGGAAGCAGACTAATTTATAAATTCTGAAGTGAGAATTTCATCACACTGAGCTTAGGAGCAGCTCATCACAGACGAGTAGAAAACAGTTGCAAACGGTGCAGTTGGTTTATATGAAGGTTCTGGAGTAAAACTGTTCTTTAATTCTATACAGGGAGACAAACAGGATAATCGCTATCACTTCAGATTTTATAGTATGAATCCGACTCGAATCCGAGTCGAGTCTCAAGTCCCCAGCGTTTGAGTCCGAGTCAACTCTGAGTCATCAAGGAATAGTCTGGGTTCAGTCTCCATTTCCTGAGTTGGGGTCCTCATGGTCTATATTAAACACAATTGGTGAATAACGAGTCATTTACTGGTCTGCGGGTATCAGTTCCTGAGATTTCATGCTTTTTGACATTGTATTGCATCAGCTCAGTGATTTGACACATAAAAATCATATAGAAAGGTGTGGAGTGTACGCTTTGATGGAAGTGTGCGGGTACAGCATGGTGCGACTGAACTGGTTTTAATATCAGTATCTTATGACTAAATATTATGGCCTGTTACAAAAAAATGTCAGTGTCCATTTCTCCAACTTCTGAGTCCAAATGCAGTCGATGCTCGAGTCTTGAGTCTTGAGTCTAAGTCATCAGTACTCAAGTCCAAGTCAAGTCATGAGTCCTGGAAATCAGGACTCAAGTCGGACTCAGGTCCTGGGCAAAAGTACTGTAACACAGATGTGAATATATCTTCCAGTGCTCATGGGAAACAGTTCAGTCATTGTATGCAGTCACCTCCACCTAATGTTTATAGTGCATTCAAAGGTAAAGCCATAGTAATATATGTTACTTTGCATTAACGCCGACTTGTTGCCTATGACCAGAATCATTATGACGACTTCAGCTGCAGGCATCTATGGTAACTTTGGCCAGACCAACTACAGTGCTGCCAAGCTGGGCATGCTGGGAATGGCAAACACCTTGGCCGTTGAGGGCCACAAGTACAACGTCCACTGCAACAGTATTGCTCCTCTTGCTGGGTCACGCCTTACAGAGTCCGTCATGCCCCCAGGTAAATGGAGAGATGTGATTTTTTTTTTTCTTTTTTCTTTAGAATGCATACTGCGGTGGTTTGCTAATTATTTGTTTGCTCACACATATATATATATATATACTGTACATGTTTTGGACAGGCTAAAGTAGACGAATGGATTTTAACCATAGCTTATCTTTTTAGCGCAGCTGCATAATGTAATTCCCATGTAATGTTGATTTACAAAATGTGAGGCAACAGCACTCCGTTTGACATGCAAATTTGAAATATTGAAGAGGTGTTTGTTTTTGTGTTCCAACAACCATGATGAAATCATGCACCCACTAAGTGCTTTAAAAGTATTATTGTGTCAGCAGCTGATTTCAGCAGGTGGCTCTGGCCTCCTCATTTTACTATAGGCTACCGAATATTCACAAAAACGTAAGTATGCCAATGAAACATCTGGATTCTTCATGTTAAAATGAATATGCACAATGAATTATAGCTTGGGATATCTCACAAACATGGATATGCTGCATATAAACACTATCTAAAACAAAAAAACTAAAATGTCATCTTGTCAGCAATTTAAAAAGGCAGTTTTTGGCATCTGTTGTGTTTTCCAAAGGATCGCCTAAGGCTATTAAGACTCAGTATCTTGAAATGTCTATAGATCATCAGCATATTGTACATACTCTGACCTGGGCATTAAGTGACAAAGTAAAGGAGTGGTTCTGTTGCCCTGCTGCGCTGGTCTACAGTAGCATCTGTCACACCGCACTGTGCCAACTGTGACAGGATGGCCTCACCTAAGAAAATGGCTCAGTTCCATGTGTTGACTTTCACTGATTCAGTCTTTTCTAATAACCAACAAACCTGTATTATTAAACATTTCAGTGCAGTGAAGCAGAATGCCTTTTTGGTATCACCTAGTTGTGATGACTAAAGGGTACCAATATTTTCAGTTTACATATTAAATCATGGATGGTTTATACAGGGAATTAAAAATCCTGTGCTATATTTTCATGACTTTTTTCCAATATATTTAGGATTTATCGTGTGATAATAAGTAGCTATTATTCAAGGCTTCAATATACATCCAGAAATGGGCGGTTTAGCTTTCAATCACATTTTATATTCGCAGAAGTTATTCTGTTTCATGCTTCACGTGCCGGTATTGGTGCATGTTTGTATTTAGTATTTGCACAACAGGTAACATATCTTAGATGGCAGACTGCCCTTATACAGACTCATAGTGTTTTCAAAATGAGAAAATTAAACATGCCATACTTTTAACAATAAACTCTTTTAGGAGTTTCTGTATGACAGATGTGCAATAAAAAGAAGCTCTAGAATATTGCATTTGTATGTGTTATGCTTTGATTTAGACCTTGTGGCATCTCTGAAGCCTGAGTATGTTGCTCCCCTGGTCCTGTGGCTCTGTCATGATCAATGCCAAGAAAACGGAGGACTGTTTGAGGTATATCGGAAACCGTATTCTTCCTTAGTCCTTTTGTGTGTCTTTTTGTCACTGAGTGGCTTTCAGGTTGTCATTATTTGTTCATTCAGAGACTGTATTGTTTTAATATCTGTGTATCTGCTCATATTTTGTCTCCTTTCAGGTCGGTGCAGGCTGGATTGGTAAATGTGAGTTTGTGTGCTTCTCCTGAGGAAATGATATTCATTAGCCCCTGGTTCACTAGTAAAGTGTGTGTTTAATTTTCATTAAGCAATGACCTCTTTTTGTGTGTGTCCATGTGTGCAGTGCGCTGGGAGCGTTCTCAGGGCCACATTGTGAGACAGAAAAACCAACCCATGACTCCTGAGGCTGTCAGGGACCACTGGGACAAAATCTGTGATTTTACAGATGCCACCAAGCCTACGACTATACGAGGTCAGTAGTGCAGTGGCCTGAATACATACTCACACACATATATGCATATATTAGTGCTTTTATATATACTTATAATTATAGGTGTGATTAGCCTGTATTGGGTGGAACTAAAAGACACTGCCTTGGGAGAGATCAACTACACTATTTCTCTGCAATTAGAGAAAAAACACATAGTTAGTGTGGAAGTCAGTGTGTGACTGAGCTTTTGTGAGAGTAAGACACAACATGAACTCAGTTTTCAGCTGAAAGAGCCCTTGTGCTGTCACCTCATCTGTATACAAAATGTTTATTAATAAGACCAAGGGAACAATGGCGTTGAGATGAAGTGAATAAGGTGGAGAAAAGAAGTGAAGGTGAATATGATGAGTATGAACAAGCCTGTTCCCAAAAGGTCGCATGCAAACAAGAGGGTGGCAGTGTTGATTATGATTTCTCTCCGCCTCCCCCATCCCTCTCTACAAATATACATTTGAAGAAAGGATGGCTGTGCTAACATCAACTGAATGTTGGTGTCAGTCCCACAGGGCACTAGTTGGCCTCATTAGCATGGCTTTGTAGTACCTTCTCATTTGTATATTATTACAGAGACTTGTTGCTGCATCTGTTCTGTAACTGCCTGCCAGCGTGACAGAAATTAGTAGCTGTAGTTTTTCCTCTCTCTTTCCTCGGTCGTCTCACCTGTCTCCGTTTGTGTCGACTGAATCTGTATTCATAGCGTGTTACCTGGCTGGATATATTTACATTATATTTTTAGCCGAACTGGAACACACAGTGTTGACTCAGTATGTAAACAACCAATGTCATGTTTATATTCAACGCAAGTGGCTCTCACATCCACAAAGCTGCTCCTGGATCAGTACGTGTTGTATCAAAATTCTTATTGTTTAAGTTTCCCTTGTATTCTGTTTAACTTCACTTTGATCCATTTAACTTGAGTTTTAAAGCTCATTTCTGAAAACGTGCTGTTTAATGATTATCTGAGTGAATGGTGTTAAATAAACAAACTGTGTAGACTGTTCTGCTAAAGGTTTGTCTCATATCAAACCAGTGACACCCAGAAACATGACATTTGATAACGATTTGTAGAGAATTGTCAGCAAATGCCAACTTGTACATTTTACTCTATACATTCAGTTTCCTGATAGGAATATATTTTGCTTTTGCAGAGAGAGGAAGGAGAAGATTGACACCACTCTACTGTGTATGGAATATAAAGCTACCACCAGCAGCTGGCTAAATTAGGTTATAGACTGAGCCAGGCTAGTTGTCTCCCATTGTTTTCAGTCTTTATGCTAGGCTATGCTATCTGGCTGTGAAGTTAGATCGATGAGAATTAATGGGATAAAATTGACTGAATAATACAGTATTAGCCTGGATTAAACCACATATGAAGAATGGGTACCTAGGTAAAATGATAAGATTGACAGTGCTGAGGTGTAGTGGGTAGCACTGAATTGTTTTATCTGTCAACTCTCAGTATGTTGCTGTCTTACACTCATCTATTATCTCTTGCCTCCGTGTAGAAGCCGCGCAGTCAGTTGTGAGTGTGCTGTTTCAAGTGGAGTCGGAGGGAGAAGTCAGTTCAAATCCAACAGCTGTTGCAGCCTTGGCTTCAGGGATCAATCCTGTGAGTCGATGTGCCTATACTGTACTTGAAAAGTGTCGTAGTGTCTGCAAAAAGGTGAAACTGCCACTGTAATCTTTTTAGAAGAAAGAACAAATGTTGACAGTATTTCGGTAATGTAATTTTAAATGATTCAGAATGTGATCTGTTGGCCTGATGTGAGCTTTACAACAGCCTTCACATAAAACACTTCTAAATATTCTTGTGTATGTTGCCTAACAGTTTTTTTTATGCATCAAAACATTACTAAACAGGATAAAGGGTCACATCAGTACACTTTTTCTTTTTTTAGCTTAATGTACAAGTCATCGTATGGTAGTAGACAGATTAACCTTTTCAAAATTATATATCACTCACTTTTGATGAAATCTGTTTTTATGTCCTGTGAGACATTAATAAAACTTAGTAGCTTGCTTCAAAGTTATTAAATGCTTTAGTAATATATCATGATTCAGTACCTCAAATGTGAAATGATATCCAGGGCCCTCTGTTTCTGGTGTCACTGAGATTCTGGCATGTGTGTGTGTGTGTTTGTCTGGACTGGGGATTTGAAACAGAGTCACATAGTAGCCTTGAGCCACCATTGTGTCCCCAGCTGACTTAGCTTTGTGCTAAGAATGTGTGTCTATATTTTGTACAGTATATTTGTGTAGAGCTACTATCGTGTGTTGGTTGCATTTGTATCTCCGTTGTTGTATGTGGCACATGATTGCTGAAGTTATGTCACACTGTGCTTGTATTTACTGTATTTATGCAACTCTCCACTGCACAGAGGTTTAATAATCTTAAACCATCATGGGTACAAATAGGGTGGACAGACTATCAGAAATGCCTGTCTGTATAATGCAGTACACAAACTGCCATATTCAGTAGGATTGATGTAACAGATGATAGAACATGTGTTTTTACTGTTCTTGATATATTTCTCTTTTTTGGTGGAGTTCTGCTTGGAAGTAGTGAGCTTTCTTTTGTTTTGGTGGATTCTGGGGAGTATTTTATGTGCAAAAATAGGCGTTATGTTCCAGCTACGTGCCTAAACCCCGAGGCAGTGTAGGCAGCTGGATTGATCAATATAATAGCTTATTGGTTGGCTGGGACAAGCATCTCAAAAATGCAACTGAGTCCACTCCAATAGAGAATTGGATCAGTTTTATTCTGGTCAATACCGATTCTATGAAATAAGGCTACCAGGACATTTCTACATACAACTGTTTAGAAAGGTTTGTCTTGGTGTGTGCTGTTTCAGCTATATGGTATATTTCCAAAGACTAATAAATTCACTCAGACTGTATGTGTAGTATTTTATAAAGCCTTTGTATTCAGGGGTTGAGCTGTGAAACTCCTCTACCATGAAATGAACCTTATTACTTTTCTGGAAACTCTTAAAATTGCATATTAATTTTCTCTGTCTAAATCACAGGACAATTGGCACTAAAATCCCTCTGCTCTGCCCTCCTCTCAGAATGAGGCCGTGGGACAAAAGCTGCCAGCGAGCACGTTCAGCTTCAACAACACCCAGTGTATCCTCTATGCACTGGGGGTCGGCATGTCCACCAGAGACCCCGACCATCTCAGGTGTGTATCTTTGTGTGTCTGTGCTAACGACTCCAACTGCCTCAAGGTGTCTGAAAGGTTAGCATGAGAAAAATTCAACTGAAAGAAATGATAATTGCTGTACCTAAGAGTAATATCTTCATGTAGGTTCCTGTATGAGGGCCATCCAGACTTCAGCTGCCTCCCTACCTTCGGGGTCATTCCCTCCCAGGCAGCCATGTTGGAGGGTGGGCTGAACTCAGTCCCTGGACTCAACATGGATTTGACACGGGTTAGAAAACATGCACATTAATGTCCTAATTGTCTGTGGGTGTATGACGTTACCTGTGTGCAAGTCTGAGTTTGCTCTGCACGTATACCGTCTAATCCTTATGCCTGTTTGTATCAACATGGTATATTTCACACACACTTGCACACAAGAAGAACACTAGTAATACCCACACTACTCGTGCTAATAAGACTAAGACTTGGTTTGATCATATATCACAGCTGCTGTGATGTTTTCTGGTAGGTGCTGCATGGAGAGCACTATCTGGAGCTTTACAGACCTTTACCAACCTCAGGTATTTCCTTCATTGCTATTAAAGTACATGCAGTTTGTGTACAAGTAGTTGATTTTACATATTGATAAAAGCTTTTACTTGTATTAATGTTACTGTATATAGCATGTCACATCAGTGGGATCAGTCTGAGTGTAAATTGCTGCTCTTTTTGAAGATAGTTCAAGAATTCTCAGACACTTTTAACCATCTGGATGAAGACATTCAGACCATTGTACGATAGAAAAAGACCTTGAACCTGTTTACTAAGTTTCAGTTTGTCCTCGTCTAACCAAAGAGCGTAGCCATCTCATTTGTACAAAGTGAACCCAGTTTATTTTGGTCAGTATCAGTGTTACTTTCCATTATTTTATATTTTCACACCTGACGATGCCTTTTATTTCTTGTATTATATAGATTATAGCTGCAACTAATTATTTTCACCATTAATTCATTTTTCAATGCAGGTGCAAGTAAGATGTTTCAGGAGCCCTGTTTTGTGGAAATACCTTAAAAATGTAGGAAAAAATTGTTTAAGTAGATGAGACATAGGGTGGAAATATGTCATGAAGTACAAGAAATAATATTACAGATGTGCGGGGCCCGATTATGATACATTATTAAAGTAGGAAGTAAATGGTTAAAACACATTTTCAGGTAAACTCACCTCTGAGACCACCATAGCAGATGTGCTGGACAAAGGATCCGGAGCAGTCGTCCTCCTGGATGGTGAGTTTTCTTTTGCCTTAAGGCTGCACAACAGTTGTTTTCACCAGTTTAATGTGTCTTCCTGAAAGCTGACTCTCAGGCTGAATTAAAGAAAGTTGATTTACAGTCTGTGTCTGCCGGGATTGAAATAATGGACTGAGAACCTCTCGTATTTCTTTTTGACAATTCATCACTGATGGGTGATAGAACCACTCTGATCTATAATTAATCCGAATTAAAACGAACAACAGGGGACCTGAGGACCTGATTTCTTTACACACACTAAACCAGTCAGCTTCTGTTATCCTCGGTGTGAATTAGTTATTTCTGGGTAAGACGGCACATCACAGTAGCATCCTGCAGAAGCAGTTTGTTCATATTTATGCCTAGTTATATTTTGAATGAACCTAATGGAATTAACCAGCCAGTACACTGACTGCAGTCTGGATCTGATTCCCTCTGACAGCTGCTAATTGTCTCTTCACAGTCCACCTCCTGCTCTGGTTTCACTATGAATGGGCTCTAATGAAGAAATGTGTATTTATTATTATATTTAATGTCACGATATGTAGCATACCATTAAAAATGATTACCAGGCAAGTGATGCTAACTTAATAACAGCAGTGCATTTGTCTCTTTAATCAACTTTTACTACTGTACACAAGTACTGAGTTTAATGTGAGAAATGACAAACTAGTCCAAGATTCTAGATTTGTCTCTGCACTGACGCAAGGTTTATCACAACCTCACCCAGGATAGTACAATCATTAGCTAAAAGTGTAAAATGCTGTAGTTTTAGGACAATTTTTTTTTTTGAACTTGTACATCACACCTCAGATCTTCTAGTCTACTTTCCCCCCCCCCTCTACAGTGACTTGTACTGTAGATGCCCTGTAGAGTGTTCTGGTAGATGAACACTCACCTTGAGGCCTAACAAATGTGTTGAATGCATTTCCTTCCTCATAAAATATTTGCAAAGCTGATTTTTAAAGTATCAGTGTTTGCTAGTGAAAAGTCGTCTTCTCTGCCCTTTGCTGGCTATCGATCAGTGGAATAGGTTGAAATTGGCTGCAGGACACTAAACTGTATTGCAGCACTTGTGCTTTTGTGTTGTACAAGATAAACAAATCGAGGACCTGAAGACATAAACATTCTTTGTCCTTCTGTAATAAAGGCATACAATTCTTTTGAAAAGTTTAAAAATGCTCCTATGTGTCCAAAACTCCACAGGATGCCTTTTAAATACTCACTAATATTCTGCCTACACATGAATGCTGAAGTAGTAATAATAATCCAAAAATATACATCATAGTATACCACTGACAGTGGCCTTTACATTTGCTTTGTTTCTTTTGCTGATTAATTTTTGTATGCCTTTAACTTGTACTATTATCTCACTGTAGTGTTGCTACTTTGACATAAGTAAAGGTTCTGAATATTTCTGCTATGGATATGGTTTTGAATTCTACACCTGTGCTGGTTTCCAGTGAACACCTACAACGGCGCCGAGCTGGTGTGTTACAACCAGTTTTCAGTGTTTGTGGTCGGAGCCGGGGGGTTCGGAGGGAGGAGAGCCTCAGAGAAAGCCAAAGTGCGTAGTCTGCGTTCAAGTTGCTTTTCCAAAATGAACAAAATCCTCAAAAATAAATGTCTTGTATTTGATTTGCTGTATTTGTGTGCTGTTTCCTCCAGCCTCCTCTTTCTCCACCTCGTCGGGCACCAGATGCTGTGGTGATTGATTCTACCACAAGAGACCAAGTGAGTGTGTCTGTGCAGGTTTTGTTGCTGAATAAATAAAGCTGTATTGATAATACGTGGATGGAATAGAAGATTGTTTTGTTTTTGTTTTTTTTTTAGACAATGTGAAGGCAAGGCAGAAGTGTTGAACAAGGTTTTTATACTATCTGAAAAATAGAAGTCAGACTGTATGATGCAGCAGGAAATCAAAATAAAAGGGGAATTAAAATGACTGTATCATGTCAAAGACCTTATTTTATGCATCTCCTCTATTGCCTTCACAAAATTTTTTATTTCATTTCACATCTGTGCATGAGATGTTCAGGAATTTGTGAATTAGATATAGGTCTAAACAATGTTTATTTTCCCTGTGGTCGCAGGCGGCTTTGTACCGTCTGAGTGGAGACTGGAACCCTCTTCACGTAGACCCCAGCTTTGCTGCTATGGCAGGTGAACATCTCTACATTTGTTCTGTATTGTATTTTTTCCATCAAAGATGTCTAAATTGATTTTGATCGGAACTAAATCATCCCCTGGGCTTTTAAGTCAAATGATGTGTGATGATTTCATTTATATATGCTCTTTGGTCAGGCTTCGAGGCTCCCATCCTGCATGGTTTGTGCTCATTTGGCTTCGCTGCAAGACATGTCCTCAAGCAGTTTGCAGACAACGACCCCTCCAGATTCAAGGCAATCAAGGTAGCCATTACCTGTAATTTAAGTCCTGTCAAACATTTTATGAGTCATTGGGCCTTGTGCAAGAACCACGGATATGAAAGGTTTTTCATATGATTTATGACATGACATTAAACTCAGCAGCACAAAATTCTTCCCTTTACCTTTTAAAAAAAAAATTTTTTTTTTTCCTGTGGTTAAATCCAAAGGAAATCTCAGTAACATGCATCAACACATGAACAGGTGACATCATCAGCACAGTTGGGACCACTGATGTTTATGGACATCACCACTTCTCTCCACTACGTAAAAATGAAACTAAAATATTGTGAATGCGGTGGCTACCATCTTACTGTTTTGCAACTAGAAGTGGAGTGACCAATCAAAGCTGTCAAATCAACTGAAATACAGTTCATTGCAGATCCACCACCCTCTCAATTCATCTCTTCCTCTCAGGTTCGCTTTGTGAAGCCAGTGATGCCGGGTCAGTCACTACAGACTGAGATGTGGAAGGAAGGCAACAGGATTCACCTCCAGTGCAAAGTCAGTGTATGGCATTAGTGTGGGTGACAAGCATCATTACAGATTTATGGACAAAAATGCATCTGACTTGTCATTTCAGTGATGTTCTTTTGTGAATGTTCTGCATGTGGTGCGCTCTTCTTATTCGTCTAGGTGAAGGAGACCGATACACTTGTGCTGTCAGGGGCCTATGTGGATTTACATGTCACATCAAATGCTTCTCCAGAAAATCTCAGTCAGGTACAGCAGTCTGAAAGAACAACTCTCTTCCTTCTGGATTCCTTTACAGAGCCTGATGTTTCCTCTTAGCTTTGTAGTTAATTTAGACAAAATCAAGTTTGTATGAAAATAGCACTATCTTATAACTGGTGCTATCGCTGTGGGTACCTTTTGCACAGGGAGGCGGCCTTCAGAGCGAGCTGGTGTTTGCAGAGATCGGGCGTCGTATTAAAGACTTGGGCTCAGAGTTGGTGAAGAAGGTCAACGCTGTGTTCGGCTGGGAGATCACCAAAGATGGCAAGAATGCTGCACAATGGAGTAAGTGTACTGAACGCTGTAGAAATGCATTAAACATAACAAATTCAGTGTCATTGCATTATGGGAAAAATAATAGTTCTGATCTTACTTACTCCATAAGGAGAAACCCTTTCTGCTGTTAGAAACAAACACAATAACAAACAAACTTGGTTTTAGCAGAAGCTACAGCTCCCTTACCAGCATAGCACTGATGAAATATACAGTTAAAGTCAGGAGTTTACATACACTTTAGCCAAATGCATTTAAACTTAGTTTGTCACAACTCTTGACATTTGATCCTATAAACATTACCTGATTTGCCAAAACAAAGAGTTTAACATGACATCTATGGAGTGGTTTAAAAAAATAAATCAGTTTTAATAACTTCAACCTAAGTGTGAGTAAACCTCTGACTTCAACTGTAAGTGGAAGGCAGACGTCAGGACTGAACCAAATCTACAGGTTCAGCCTGAGTGGGAGTCGGTAGGGATCCTGCACAAAATCAATCCTGGTCTGTCCCCCTTTATATAAAATATAAGAAAAAATGGGAACACACTTTATAAAATAGCATGTGCACATATATTTAAACTGATACTGGAAAAACATAGTGAAGGCATTTGGTTCCACCACTCACAAATTAAGATGCAGCCTGCATTGTTGTCTACTGGGACTTCCCTCTGAGAACTCAGGGCCCCCCTACACAGTACACTTTAATAGCAAAGCTTTTACTGTTGGCAAGGAGATGCATCCTGTTTCAGTGGATTAAAGAAAAGCCCCCAACTGTATTGCAGTGGTAGCAAGAAATATACACGATTCTCCCAGTGGAACTTCTGTCACTTTGAAGGGAAATGACAATCTGTTTTATAATAAGTGGCAGCCGGTCTTGGCTCACCTACCAGTGAGATTTTGGCCCTGATAATGAGGACATTGTACTGAATATCACATGCATTCATGCATGAACTTGCCTATGTTAATTTCTCAGTTGTGACTGGTAAGGACTGTGCCTCTGGTCTGTTGGATGCTGTCGTGTTTGTGCTGAATGTTTATTAATCTGTTTAAAAAGCACAAACACGGTGAAGTAGAGACATAAGTACAGGTACTATACACACAATGGAAAAGTAAATGTTTCATGTGATTAAAGCAAGAAAAACTGCAGCAATACAAACAGGATAGAGTGTTAATATGTGTGGGAAGCCAAGCAGCAGGTTGTGGCACATCAGAATTAAGAACATTTATGAACATTTTCTATATATATGAAATAAAGAACAGATTTTATGATGGGGCTGTAACATCGGGAACGTGAGTGTGTCACACTACATTTGTTGGTCCCAGCAATCAGTCTGAAAACATGATTCACTATGACATTATGACATTTGTCCTTGAAACAACGGCTGAAATGTCAGCATGAGTTCTAATTTTGACAAGTTAATTGACCCAGATTAACATTTTGCTAACAAGCTGTCAAACCATTAAAACTAGGCCAAAAATCTGGGCTAATGCCTGAATAATAACTCCAAACACAAATGAGGTGTGGAGACAAGGCAGCCAGCTCAGCGAAGGTGAAGCTACAAGTGGTGGTGTATGATTTATTCCTTCATCTTCTCTTTTTTTTTTATCCTGTTGTCTTCTAGCCATTGATCTGAAGAACGGCAGTGGCTCCTTGCATAAAGGCCCTTTCAGCGGGAAGGTGGATGTGACCCTCACATTGTCAGATGAAGACTTCATGGAGGTGGTGCAGGGGAAACTCAACCCTCAGAAGGTAACACACAAGCAGTCG